CATAAGTTGACCTCTATGACCCTTGACCTTTGACCTACGTGCTCCAAAATGTAATCAGATTGTTTTCCTATAGTGATACACACTATCACTAAGTTTGCAGTTTAAATCTCCAGTGGTTCTTGAGATATCATGATAACAATCTCATTGTATGGAATTTCATAAGTTGACCTCTGTGACCCTTGACCTTTGACATACGTGCTCCAAAATCTAATCAGATTGTCTTCCTATGGTGATACATACTATCCTTAAGTTTGAAGTTTAAATCTCAAATGCTTCTTGAGATATCGCGCTAACAAACTCAATACAAGGAATTTCATAAGTTGACCTCTGTGACCTGTGACCTTTGACCTACGTACTCCAACATATAATCAGATCGTCTTCCTATGGTGATAAATACTATTCCCGAGTCTTAAGTTTAAATCTTAAATGGTTCTTGAGATATTGTGATAACGGTCAAACGGGACGGACGTACGGACGTACGGACGGACAACCCGAAAACATGATGCCTCCGGCACCACCTTCGGTGGCGGAGGCATAAAAAGCTTCCACCCGGGAAAAATTAACATACATGATATCCAATTTGATTGGGTATGACACAAAATTGGGCTTCAGTGTACACAAATGAATGGATGAATGAATTAATACATAAAATAAATTAAAGAATTTTGAAATAGATTCTTGAAGTAAAATGGCATCCCAAAATCTGGTAAACACATTTTTGGGGCCCCTTTTTTTGAAAAACCCTGAATTCACCACAGCATTCATACAGCGACTGGATAAAAGCGAGTGTATGTGTATACTGTATGACTGCCTGACTCCCCAAGGAACCATAGAAATTACTCCCTATAATGGGTTGATTGTCCCTAATGACATTTAAATTGTAATTGGCTACCTCGGGAAGGGGACAGTTAATCTCCAAAATGTTATGAAATCAACTACTGAAAGCCAGAAGGATGTTGTTGGCTCTTACCAGATTTGTTCCTTTGATGATTGTTTGTTTGATTGTTTTACCTGACTGATATAGTAGAGCATGTACACTTATATTTTTAAAGCAGGCAACTAATACCCCTTTCAAACTGGCCTGATTTTCATTGGATGCATCCGGACGCATCCAATGAAACGGCCACTATGAATGCTACAGAGGAAAAAAGCCGATTAAATAGCCGAAAAGAAGAGAAATAGACAATTAAATTCTCATTCTATCGGTGTGACACCTACATGTATGAAAAAGCCACTGTGAATGCATTCGGGAGAAAATAGCGATTAAAGCACTGATTAATATGGTCTAATGACTCTATGTACGCACGCTTTATCGTAACCAGCTGTGTTTGTTGAACATGCTGCATGCCAGCTAGATGGGGCTCAGGCTTAATAATTACGTAATAATTCTTCACTTCTGGCAAGGGCTCGCCAAAGCGAGTGAATTTCACCGGCAGTATGAAAGTGACAGCAGGGGAAACATCGGTTTCACCTTTGTTTACATATGGAAAAATCAATCTGTATTTTCATCTGTGTGACTCCGATAGAAGCCAGTTTGAAAGCAGTACCAGGTACCAACAGCTCTCCTCTCTGGGGGACTTGATAATGAGAATTAATGCATCACCAAAGGGCACGAGCGATTTTGAGTTAGCTTTGAACCCGGGACCTCTTGGTTACTAGACCACTGCTCTACCACTGAGCAATCGCACCTCCTCAAAGTGAAAGTCCTTGTGACTCTCAGCTTCCATAGTTGAGCATTCACACATAAAATTAAATGTTCTTGTTTAGTGATAAAATTTTTCAAACAAGGTCTTTAAACCTCAAAATTCTAAGTATCAATCACTGTTTTACCTCATTGTTTTCTTCAGTCAAAAATTCTTAGCAAGAATATTATATTTAGCCTTTTTTTCATTACATGGTAAGTGTACCAATCACCAAAGCATGTTTTGCTCTTGATGTAAAAGGCTACCATGTTGTTGTTGTTGTTGTTGTTTTTTGGGGGTGGGGGGGGGGGGGTTGTTTTGATACATTCTAGCAATAAACAAATTTATTTTCAGGTGATTGGTACACTTCAAACCAGAAAGGCGGGATTATACGCGTCTCGTTACTACTTAATCCCAAGCTTCAAGTATCTCAATGATAAGGTCATTTTTTCTGTTGCATTTATCTCATTTTCTACAATGGTGCTTGTATCAAATCCCAAAACACTTTCATTGGTACTACGCAGAGCTGCCAACCTCCAGAACCGAAAATCAGTAATCACAAGGCTCAAAATCAGTAATTTTGGGTATAAATCAGTAATTTCCTATGCGGCGCTATGACTCTAATAAAAACGGCACGCCAACATTGCACAGACACATGATTATCTGACATTTTTGGTGATTTTACTCACACAAAGTTGTTAAATAATGAGTTTCATATCATCACAACACAGTCTTCCAGGAAAAATGGGGGGGAAAAAAAATATATAAAAAAAAATTAAAAAAAAAAAAAAAAAAAAAAAAAAAAAAAAAAAAAAAAAAAAAAAAATCATTTTTTTTTTTTTAAAATCCGTAATTTTAAACAACATTCCGTAATGGTCGTTAATTTCCGTACCAATTACGGGAAATCCGTACTAGTTGGCAGCTCTGACTACGTCATGACTGAAAGACTTGTTTTGCAGATTTTTAAAGAAAATTGCATTGGTGTATGTATGTAGGTCATTAGTGCTCCACTTGGTGATGTTTCCTTTTCAGTGCTATTTAGTTGTTACTATTGCCGGACATAATAATATGTATTTTTCCATAAAAGTTTGGGACAAAAAATAAGCCTTTGGAGATCCTCATTATATGGGAATTAACTTTAAGAGAGTGAAGAAAGTTCAAATATGTGAATAATAAGCTAGTTACAGTCAAGCCTGCTTAAGTGACCACCTGTCTTACAAAGACCACATGTTTCGTTTCCCTTGAAAATTGTTTCTCATTGAAACATGTACTAGAGGAACCTGTCTACAAAGACCACTTTTTGTGTTTCCCTTGGGTGGTCGCTATAGACAGGTTGGACTGTAATTAAGTTGGAAAAAAAGAAGGCTGAGGTTTTTTATGTGTAAAGTTATACATAATGTACTAATGTGTGATGTCAATATAAGACAGAGGATGCTGGTTTTAATACAATTCCAGACTTTACTTTAAAAAATAGAAGATTGAAGAATTAATCAATTTCATTGCACTTGCCTACTGGCAGTCTGGCACATGCATTATCTGTATGTGCACCAACTGAACACTGTGCATTGTCCTGGAAAAGACACTCTCAACAGCACATCATTTGTATACTAGTACTTCAGAAATCACATGGACCACTTGATGTCATTAAAATCAAGAGTTCATTCATCAAAAAATTACTTCACAGAAGACAAGTGCAAATTACTTACTAAAAAGGGAAATCTTGATGATCAAAACAATTAAAAACAAAACAAACACAGCAAATGAACAGTGTTGTTATGAAAGGTTGTCAGGCAGCAGACGAGTCTCATGTCTAGTGGAAATTCTCTGTCAAGATACCATAACAGCTTTTGTGACGGAGAGGCTGTTGATTTTGATCAAGTTTATGAGTGCTCTTGAATTCTGAGAAAGAGGAGGACGTTGCCTTGTCAATTTACAGAATGAGGATGCTTGACTTTTAGATGGAGATTATGTATGAGTAGAGTAATTTTGAAACTTTTATGAAGAAACAAAATTGTGTTTAAAATAGATTAATTTTGAAAGTTTACGTAAATGCCAAATTATGACAAACCTGGAACAGAGTCACATTTCTGCTGGTGCAAATAAACGGTACTCAATGTACATGTATGGGGGGGGGGGGGGCTAATTTTGCAATTTAAAGACAACACGTGGCATAGAGTCACAATCGCATTGGCGCAAATGCATAGTAAAAACAAGTGAATTGATTTTGAACACATTTACGTGAAAACAAAATGGTGAAACATGAAATTATTTCTGTTGTATTTCTACTGGTAATAGGAAGGATTCATATGTACGGATGCATAGATTAAAGGACAAGCAGAGAAACTCAAGATACAGTGTACATGTTTACAAGTATATACTAGCTTGTTTTTAGAAACTCCACGAGCTGTAAAAGAGATGGTGGACAATATGCATGAATGAATACGATGACTAGGATAATAAAGATATCTGTAATCTGTAAAGCACTTAGATTTATCAGTGATTTAAAAAAAAATTGTAGATCAGTGTATCACTAGGGTACATACAATTGCATGTACACCTGTACATAAAAAACTTCATAATGTTTAACCTGAATTTTGCTAAGTATTTTTTTTACTTGGGTATGCACATACAAGAAAGCAATACTCAAATACAATGCTGTCGCAACAAACGGGTATTTTGCATGGAACGCGAATATGGAATCCTATTAAGTGTAGCATTTTCCTACCATAACTAATTCACAATAACAAGTACATGTACATGTAAATAGTTTTAGAAATAGGTACAACAAAGTGAACAAACCTCTGATTTTAACTCTTGGACGTTTTGGGCATGTTGTTACAACCAATAACACACAAACTGTCAAGCAATGTCTATCATTAATTAATAATAAATATGATTTAATACACATTGTGCAGATTAAAACAAAGAATAAATATTGACAAAATCATTTTTAGCACACACAGATCCTCTATTTGTGAAAGCTAAACAGTTCAAGATATCCACAAGTTGCAATTAGCCAGTTTTATTTTTTCGTACCACTTTTATTTCCTGTATTACTCATATAGTTTGTGGACGAGCCTTTAATAGGCCTTAGGCCTTTGTTTGTTCCCCCACATTTTGATACTTCTGTTCTGCTTTGTTATTCGTTGAAATTTACTTTGTATTTTGTATGTTTGTAGTCATAATTTTTATCTAATGTGCAATTAAAATGAATTGAATTGAGATTGAATTTTGAAACAAACCAATGCCTACCTTGCAATGCCTTCAGTTCTTCTGTTCATCTCACGAATTGCCTTCCTCTTTTTCCTCTTCCTCTTCCTTTTCCTCTTTTTCATTTCCCTCCATCATCACTCCATTATCGCTTCCTTTCTTCTCAGTATCCACTCCTTCCTTCGCCCTTCCTTCATCAGCTCCAACGTTCTTTGTCTCTTCACTCGTCTCCATCCTGTCATCTTCCTTCTTCATTCCATCCTTCTTCTTCTCATCCTCCTCCTCCTCGTCATCCTGGAGGAAATCCTCCCACTTCTTCAGTCTCTCCTCCCTCTCCTTGTCCGTCTCTTCTATCTTGTAGTCTGTCTTTCCATCCCAATGAGTGACCTCCAGCTTACGTTTGGCAACCACCTAGATATCAAAATAGAGAATTTAGCCAATTTTAAATTTCTGATATTATTGGTATTTTTAAATTTTAAATTTTAAATTTTTATCTACAGTAGATGTATAGTTATCAGATCTCAAATTTAGACGATTAATACTTTCAGTATATTTTTTCATCCAATTTCATTATAACTATCCAGGCCTGTTCACATATGCTGGTGTAAGCCACCGCGGTTTACTTTGAGTAATCTTGAAGTGTACTGCGCTTCACATTTTTTGTATCTTACTGCAAACAAATGAGAGATTACGTTATATTTGTTGTGCGCAGATAAATTTATAGTGCCTATTTGTCATTCATTTTGTACACAAAAAAACAACACCATGGTCTACTATGACAAATGTGTGAATGAGCCTTCACAGATCTATCTATCTGATGTTTCTAATTATCTTCACAGCATCTTGCTATTATAGCAAACTGTATACATGTACCTATTGTAGTGCTGCATCAAGTGTTTAGATCAGGGCCCCATCTTTAAAGAGTCGATATGAATCACAACTTATTTGTGATTGATATCAATCGCAACTATGTACATAAGAGATAGGAGACGGCAGAGTTGCGATTGTTCTGGATTGATCTGGATCCAATCTGGATCAATTGTAACTCTTTAATAAGAATGGTCCCAGATCACAAATACATGCACATGTAAACCTTGTCAGTAAAATGAAAACAGTCATATGATTTAATGGCACAATAACAAGAGGTTTAACAATTACATATCCAATAAATGGTATAAGATGATCTATCTCACCTTCCGTTAAGAGATTGGATACATTTGTCGGCATTCTCAACATCTTTAAACTTGACTGACACAACGCCATCTGGATGTCTCTGTTGAGAACCAAAATAAAATATGATCAGAATTTAGAAATAATTAAAGGTATATTTCAACTCCTGAGAATTCATGTAGAAAAATCAGTCCTTGAATTAAACACTTAACATCAAGATTTGATTGGAATCACAGTTCTTTTATCCATTTTGGTATCTAGAACGTACAAGAATAAAGAATGTAACAAGATTCAATTCAGTACTATAAATAATGAATGTCATTTTCTTGTCGCAGAACAAAGGTGTGTTGAGAACTTAAAGAGAAGGTTGAGTTCTGGGAAGAGGTGAAAAATAATTTGTGAGCATTATCGTTGTTATAATGCAAGTGTGCAAGAACATTGGATAAAACATGTTCCCTGAAAAGCATGGCTTTTCAAATGCCTTCATACATTTATATATGGCATGTAACAGCATAACAATCATGACAGATTTTTATGCCACATGTTGGTGTAGTCCCATATACATCTTTCTGTAAACAGTGCTTGTAACTTTACCAAGACTGGGTCAAAATTCTTTTCATTTTGATGATTCCAGAACCTTGCAGTACACACCAATACTAATATGCTAGATGATCAACCTTTTCTGATCGATTCCACAATGTTTCTGTAGATTAGTTTTAATAATTGAGGAGAGGACTTACATCAAATATAAGGACCTTCTTGACCTCACCGTACGTTGAACACTCGTCCTTGACATCGTCCTTGATGTCATTGATCAGCATGGCATCTTCCTGTAGGAGCATGAAGACAATATCAGACAGTAAAGGAAAGAAGAAGAAGAAGAAGAAGAAGAAAAAGAAGAAGAAGAAGAAGGAGAAGAAGGAGAAGAAGGAGAAGGAGAAGAAGAAGAAGAAGAAGAAGAAGAAGAAGAAGAAGAAGAAGAAGAAGAAGAAGAAGAAGAAGAAGAAGAAGAAAAAGAAGAAGAAGAAGAAGAAGGAGAAGGAGAAGAAGAAGAATAAGAGGAGGAAGAATGATAATAATATAATAATATTAATTTCTAAAGTAAGGTTTCTGACAAAGAAATATCTGATAAGTAATGATTATAGACAAAGTAAGTGTTAGGCGCTATATAAGCCCTGTAATTATTAATTATTATTATTACCATTCAAGGAGGCCTTGGAATGTACATAAGGGTTTAAGCAACTAGCCTCCTCCCACGTTACCTTTACCTCTAATTCAAACTTGCAGGATAGCTTTCCAGAAAAGCATGTACATATTGTGCATGTAATATTTGAAGCTTAATCCTTGACCAAATGAGCACAAGTACGTCATAAATATTACTGAGTATTCAGGCATGAGGCCATGAGCCTACAATCAAGAAGGTGTTACATGTATGTAAAAGCTTGGAAGTTGTACGAGTCATGCTTGTGAAAGAGCATGAAGTATGAAGTTTGTAAATATATGAACTTCCTGGTTATTATTCTTTAGATGTATTAACCCGTTCAACTCGGGAACCGAGATTTCTCGGGTCCCGAGGTACGTACTCACAAACGGGAACCGAGATTTCTCGGGTCCGAGCAAGGGCTTCTTTTATTGCAGAAAAGTACATCTATTCACCTTCTAAATACAATATAAACTACCTGTATACAAACCTTGAACCTTTGGCTACATGCATCTCATTTTTTACCGACTGTAGATGCGTAATTTTTGTTTTATTACAAGTTTAGCATGAGAATGCACGAGTCCTCTTTCAGGATATTCGTATAGAACACATGCAAGTCAGTTTACGTTATTTTCATAGATTTTCGGATTCGCTGCTGCTAGCTAGCTGGGTCTACTATGCCTAGGACTGTGTAAGCCGGACATAATGATTTTGCAAGCAGCGAATTCCACACTCGCTCTGGATACCTTTGTACTCGGCATGCGCGGATACACCGTTCAATGCATGAGCCTTGGCCTTATATGGTCATTGACGCCTATTCATGGTAACGGGCCGATTATTGAAAAGCTTATAGTATATTACAGTCTCGTTCGACCTAGCGCTCTCAGTTCAGTTTACTCATGCGTACGTATACAGGGTACCGGGCCGACCTATTATTGGGGAGATTAGCTAGTCTCGATATAGTCCATCCCATTGTTTCGTTTCAAGGTTGTCGGCTATTATTTACTTATCGTGCTATAAAGTGTCGGAGTTTTACTATTTAGTTCAGCTTTTTGATTTTCATGATAGTTGGTTGCACAAATTAGTTCTCAATTATTTGCTTATAACTGCTCTTTATCTATGTAAGATAGTTTCTCAAAATGTCTCGTCATCGGAGAAAGCCTATTTTTAGCGTTGAAGATGCTCGAGAAGCGATCCTTGACTCGGACTCAGAAATGAATATGATACAAATGGACTTATCAAGCGAAGAAGAGTATTCATCGGACGTAGAAAATGAAGAATATGAAACAACGACATTCGATGATATTTCCATAAGTTATCTATAAAGCCTGTCGTCTCAAAGTTTTGACTCCACAGCTATCTTTTACGTCATTGTATTTACATGACAATACGCTTTTCATGTTATCAACTTGACCAATTTAGCGAATCATTCATGTATGGACCTCCTCTTTTATGAAAGGCTTATCCAGGCTCCCTCAGCTGCCCCACGCTAAGGGGGAACAAAAGAATGTAAAGAAGTAACTACTCTTGAAGATTGCCGTTTTGAAAGAAGAGGATGTAGGCGTAAATAGGTCAATTTACATTACAATACAAACAACCACTCTAACTTATACACCTTTACGAGGGCATGTAACAGTTTTAGAGCAGGTTGAAGTAAAATATCTTGATCAACCTAAAGCCGGTCTTGGCTTGAGCGGGCATATGAAATGTTCAATGTTATGTTCTGAAAAACGACCCCTTACTCTTCCTCTCTCTCCCTACGGAATATTACTCTTGTCTTGAGCAACTCCGGCGGTAAAGCCACGAATATGAGACTTTTCCCGGGCAAAGATGCTACCATTGTTGAAAAAAATGCAAGGCAACATAAAACAAGTTTTCTGGCAATGAAGAAAAGCGAGTGCAAGATGAAGAAAATAATTGTTATTATTATTATTACTATTTTATTACAATATTGAAAGCATCATCTTCATCATCATCATCATCATCATCATCATCATCATTATCATTATCATGTATGCATGTACATGCCATCTACAGAACTGATCATGAAACGAGGATTATCTAAGTTTTATTGACACGATAGGTTGAACAAGGACACAGATGGAGACGAAGACAAATAAAGTGAATTATCACGTTGTTTGCACTTCTTTCTTTATTGTTCCGTAATATAATGAATTACTATATTTTCAATATCATTTATTTTCGAATAAATAAAAGACTACCAATACTACTGCGATTAACTCCTTATTAGCCGCACCCTTTAAAAAAAAAAAAAAAACACAACAACGCGATACGGAAATAAAATACACTGAAGCACAATTCCAATTTCACGAAATTCCTGACGTATTCAGAGAGGGAAGGGGGAGGATAGAGACAGACAGACAGAGACAGACAGAGAAAGATAGATAAATAGATAGAAGAGAGAGAGAGAGAGAGAGAGAGAGATGATTGTGATGAATTATGATTTTGTTCTAATCTCTGTCATTTATTTATCTCTTTCCATTACATACAAAACAAATAAAATATGCGTACAATGATATTTAATGATATTTGTCTCTCCGGTCACCCCCCCCCCCCCCCCCCCAACTCTGATTTTTTTTTTCTTCTTTATTTTGTCTCCTTTTTGTTTGATTATATCTTTTTGCTAAAGTATAATGTCCGACGTATAACATCAAGGATATGTTATAATAATTAATCTCAAGGAAGGGATGATGTCGGCATACATGCAAAGGCGGAATAGACAACATTATGAAGATGAAGATGGAAAACGACATAGACAGAGAGACAGACGGACAGGGACAGAGAGAGAGAGGGGGGGGGGGGGGGGGGGGGGGGGGGGGGGGGGGGGGGGGGGGGGGGGGGGGGGGGGGGGGGGGGGGGGGGGGGGGGGGGGGGGGGAGATAGAAAGTTGGACGTAGTCTGTACTGTATTTATTACTATGATATTTTTCTCACCGACCCCCCCCCCCCCCCCCCCCCCCCTCAAGCTCACATTTTTTTCTTTCCATTTTTTTGTTTTGTTTTGTTTATATCTTTGGGCTAAAGTATAATATCCGACGTATAATAGTACCGTCAATATAGCATATAAACAATTTTTGTATCAATCAGTTTGATGCAACAGGGATTTACAATCAAAAGTTTTACTTGGTATAATTGTTGTTCGGTAATGTTCTTCTCATTTCGACATTATCAGCCGCTCGTTCTCTATTTCGTTTCCTATAATAAATATAAGATATAATGTGTACATCATCAGGGATAATTACGTTATAATAATTAATCTCAAGGAAGAGATGATGTCGGCATACAAGCAAACGGAGGAATAGAAAACATTTAATAAAAAAAGATGAAGATGGAAAACGACATTGCCAGATAAACAGAGAGACATATAGAGGAGAGAGAGAGAGAGAGAGAGAGAGGGGAAAATAGAAAGAGAAAGAGAGAACGAGCGAGAGAGAGAGAGAGAGAGAGAGAAAGGGGAGGGGGAAGGGGGCGAGAGAGATAGAAAGTTGGACGTAGTCCGTACTGTATTTATTTATATGATATTTGTCTCTCCGATCATCCTCCCCCCCCCCCCACCCCAGCTCCGATTGTTGTCGCCTTTAGTCTGTCCTTTTTGTTATCATATAGATATCTTTTCGCTGAAGTATAATGTCCGACGTATAATAGTATAGTCAATATAGCATAATAAACAGTGTTTATATCAATTTGTTGCAACAGAGATTTTCATTCAAAAGTTTTACTTTGGAAATATAATTATTCGCATTTAGACATTATCAGCCGCTCGTTTTTCACTTCGCTCGCTATAATAAACATAAGGTATAATAAAGTGTGTACATCATCATTATTTTATAATAATCTATCTCAAAAAAGGAATGTGGCCGGCATACAAGCAAACGGTGGAACAAAATTGGCAGATAGACAGAGAAAGCGACCGAGTGAGAGATAGAGGGAGAGAGAGAGACACATAAGCAGAGAGAAAGAGAGAGAGAAACAATCATTTCTTATAATTATCTATTTGTCTGTGACATTTTATCTTTATCACATATTCTTGTCCATTCCTTTATCGTGCATGATTGTTGTCTTTGAATGAGTGTTTCAGATAGGGTAAAGTCTGGCTTTACGTTATATGATTTTTATTTATGAGAATGTCGGAACGTGATCCCATTTAAAAATTTAAAAAACAGCAACGACAACTGCAATAACAACAAGACCCTTCCCTCCCCCAAAACAACATAAAGCAGGGTTATACATGAATACAAAGTCAGTTCATTGTTGTTGTTGTTGTTGTGTGGTATTATCGGCGTTTCATTCTTTTTTTAGAATATTTACGCCTTTCACTTTATTTATTTTTTTCTTCTGTTTTTTGGTACTATTTGTAAATTCATACTCTTCTCTTTTTTTGTTGATAATATAATCTCAGATCTGTCATCCAATTATTCAATTATACCCTTACCTTACTTCCGCTCTTTAGAGTTTATAGCCATGACAACGACCCGTACCCTCAGCAACGTTCATTGTTCCTCTAATACGTGACTCAGCTGTGGGAACATGCATGGGCCAAAGACAAAGACAAAGCTCTTTTCCACATTCTATATAGGTCCCAAATACCTGCAGACATTTCTGTGTCGGT